CCAGGCGTCCAGACCAGGTCGAGTCCAGTTGCCCAACGTGTGTTTCACAAGGTGGGTTGTGCCATCTGTGGCCCTGGGGAAACCGGTTGGGCTGAGCGGACAAGTGGGGTGGCCCCCTTCCCATCCTCAACCTGCTGTTTCCTTGAGGGCCAGCCCAGCGGGGCTGGGAGCGGAACAGGAGGGACTCCAGGAGCTCTGGGTGTGCCCCTGTGTTCCGGTCTGGGTGTGTTGTGTCTGTGTGTGGTTGTGGCCAACTGTCATGATGTGTCTCTTTGTGCTTTTTCTGTGGTTTGCGGTGTGATGTGAGAGGGTCTGTTCTATTTGTGTCTGTATTGCTCTCCTGTGAGTCTACACTGTTGTTTGGGTGTGTTCTCAGTTATTGTTGGTTCTATAATTCTGATTGGACTAAGCAATTACTTATTAAATGGTAGCCTTATGTGATGGACTCTGGAGCCAGAAAGCCTGGGTTCAAATTTTTTTTTTTTTTTTGAAATGGAGTTTCGCTCTTGTTGCCCAGGTTGGAGTGCGACGGCACGATCTCAGCTCACTGCAACCTCTGCCTCCTGGATTCAAGTGATCTCCTGTTTCAACCTTTCTAATGGCTGGGATTACAGGCCTCCACCACCACGCCTGGCTAATTTTGTATTTTTAGTAGAGATGGGGTTTCACTATGTTGGCCAGCCTGGTCTCAAGCTCCAGACCTCGGTAATCCACCCGACTCAGCCTCCCAAAATGCTGGGATTACAAGTGTGAGCCACAGCGCTTGGCTCCAAATTATTTTTTTGTTGAGACAAAGTCTCACTCTGTTGCCCAGGCAGGAGTGCATTGAGTGGGAGAACTCACTGCAGCCTTGACCTCCCCGGCTAAGTGATCCTCCTACCTCAGCCTCCTGAGTAGCTGGGACCACAGGTATGTGCCACCATCCCAACTTTTTTTTTTTTTTTTTTAAACAAAGTCTTGCTCTATCTCCCAGGCTGGAGTGCAGTGGTGAAGTCGTGCAATCTTGGCTTACTGCAACCTCCACCTCCCAGGTTCAAGTGATTCTTCTGCCTCAAGCCTCCCTAGTAGCTGGGGCTACAGGCGTGCACCACCACACCCGACAAATACTTGTCTTTTTTTTTTTTTTTTAATAGAGATGGGATTTCACCATATTAGTCAAGCTGGTCTTGAACTCCTGACCTCGTGATCTGCCTGCCTCGGCCTCTCAAAGTGCCGGGATTACAGGTGTGAGCCATGGCACCTGGTCCATGCCAGCTAATTTTTAAATTTTTTTTGTAGAGACAGAGACTTGCAATGTTGCCCAGGCTGGCCTCAAACTTCTTGGCCCAAGCAATCCTCCTGCTTCGGACTCCGAAAGTGTTGGGATTAAAAGTATGAGCCACTGTGCCCTGCCTGGGTTCAAATTCTGACTGCTGGGTTCAAATTCTGACTGCTGGCTGGGCGCAGTGGCTCACACCTGTAATCCACGCACTTTGGGAGGCCGAGGCAGGCAGATCACTTAAGGTTAGGAGTTCAAGACCAGCCTGGTGAATATGGTGAAACCCCATCTCTACTAAAAAAAAAACACAAAAAAATTAGCCAGGTGTGGTGGTGTGTGCCTGTAGTCCCAGCTATTCGGGAGGTTGAGACAGCATAATTGCTTGAACCCAGGAGGTGGAGGTTGCAGTGAGCCAAGACTGCGCCATTGCACTCCAGCCTGAGTGACAGAGTGAGACTCTATCTCAAGAAAAATACACCAAATTCTGGCTGCCTATCCTTGGGCAAGTCACTAAACTTGTTTGGACCTCAATTTTCCCACCTATAAGATGGGTTGTTGCAAATAAGGTTGTTTAGAGGATTAAATAAAAAGTGTGCCGGGTGTGGTGGCTCATGCCTGTAATCCCAGCAATTTGAGAGCTGAGGTGGGCAGGTCACCTGAGGTCAGGAGGTCATGACTAGCCTGGCCAACATGGTGAAACTCCATGTCTACTAAAAATACAAAAGTTAGCTGGGCGTGGTGGCGGGCACCTCGCCCAGCTACTTGTGAGGCTGAGGCAGGGGAATCGCTTGAATTTGGGAGGTGGAGGTTGCAGTGAGCCGAGATGGCACCACTGCACTCCATCTTGGGCAACAGAGTGAGACTCTGCCTCAAAAAACAATAAAATTTAAAAAAGGCTGGGTGTGGTGGCTCATGCCTGTACTCCCAACACTTTGGGAGGCTGAGGTGGGTGGATCACCTGAGGTCAGGAGTTCGAGACCAGCCTGGCCAATGTGGTGAAACACCGTCTCTACTAAAAATACAAAAATTAGCTGGGCATGGTGGCATGTGCCTGTAATCCCAGCTACTTGGGAGGCTGAGGGAGGAGAATCGCGGAGGTTGCAGTGAGCTGAGATCGTGCCATTGCACGCTAGCCTGGGTGACAAGAGTGAAACTCCGTATCAAAATAAAAAAAGAAAAGTACTTGGAATTGTGTCTGTCGCATAGGAAATTGTGTCTGTTGCTGCTGCTGCTGCTGTGTTCTAGTTGCTGGGGATACTGCTGGGTTCTTCTAGCTCCTACTAGAAAGACAATGAGCAAAGACTAGGGAAGTAACCCCAGTCTTTGCTCATTGTCTTTCTAGTAGGAGCTGGATGCGTGGCCTCTCACTGACTGGGCATGTAATTGCATCACTGGGGTGTCTGTTTTGCATGTGGAATAGGATATTTCTTGTGTGCTGTCATCACGGGTGAGTCTGTGATTGTTTGCCTATGTTTGTGTTTGTGCTTTTAGGCAATGTTGCTGTGTGTGTGTGATTCTTTGATTGTGTGGGTGCAAATGCAAGATCAAATCTAACACAAATTGTGAAGGCACGCGTTTGGTGTGATCTTGTGTTTCTGACTCTGAGGTGCTGGGAGTGTGTCTGTAATTGGAGTGTGTCTGTTCTTTAGAACCCTTCTCTCAGCTGTGAGGCCACTCCCCTACATAATGTCCCATAGGTGAGCCCTGGGAGAGAGATCCTTCCAAAATGAGCCTCGGTTTCTCCCAAACGGGGATAGTGGGCCCAGTGGCTCAGGGAGAAGCTCAAGGTTGAAAGGGAAGGTGAGAGGAGACCAATAAGAGGAGGCCAGGGAGAGGCTGAGAAACGTGATGGTGACACAGAAAAACAATGGCTGGATGGGGACAGAGAAGAACTGCACAGAGATGGGGATGTCTGTCCATTCATTCCGTGAGCATGACCTGCAATGTGCCAGGACCTCTGGTTGGTTCAGGGCCTGGGAAAAAGCGGAGACCCAGAGAGATGAACGCCCACCAGGAATGCTGTTGCTGCCCCAGGGTGGCCCTGTGCCTCCACAGTGGGCTTCAGTGACAGTTCAAAAAAAATTTTTTTTTGAGACAGAGTCTCACTCTGCCACCCAAGCTGGAGTGCAGTGGCATGATCTTGGCTCATTGCAACCTCCACCCCCTGGGTTCAAGCGATTCTCCTGCATCAACCTCCTGAGTAGCTGGGACTACAGGCGCCTGCCACTGGGCCCGGTTAATTTTTGTATTTTTAGTAGAGAGGGGGTTTCACCTTCTTGGCCAGGCTGGTCTTGAACTCCTGACCTCGTGATCCTTCTGCCTCGGCCTTCCAAAGTGCTGGGATTACAGGCGTGAGCCAGTGCACCCGACCCTCAGTGACAGTTCTGAGTGACTTTCCAGGCTAAGGGCACCCCCATGATTCATTTTCTTATCACCTCCTAATAGGCTAATGATGTATCTGTGCCTCCTGATCATTATTTTCCACTGAAACCAGGCTCACACCCACAGCCAGAAGCACTGAACAAGCTTAGTATTGTGGATTCATGGGAGAAAATGCCTGGGAGACTCCATCCTTGGCCCTGCCTTCCCCAGGCCCCAGGAGTCCGAGCTCTCCACTCCCCCAGCCCCAGGAGTTCCATCTCTCAGCCCCTTCCTTTTCTTGTTGCCTGCCTTTTCTTTTTTTCTCTCTGGGCCTGTAACTCTTTGTTTATCTCCATCTGTGTTTTGTGTCTCTCTTGTATCGTTACACCTGTATCTTGATTCTCCCTCACTGGGCCTCAATTTTCTCACTTGTAAAATGGAGATGATAATAATAATAATAATAATCCAATCTCTCAGAGCTGTGATGAGGAAGACATGAATAATTATGTAAAATGCTTAGCACAGAACCAGGCCACAGTAAACTCAGTACAAGAGAGCTCTATGATTATTACTGTTTGATTCTTTTTATCTCCCTTTTGGTATCTCTGTTTTTCTCTTGGTCTCACGTGAGTCTCTAGTCACCTCTAGCTCTGGCTTCCTTTTGCAGACATCAGCTGCCCCTGACTTCCCTTTTCGGGATGAGGAAAGGGCATATCCAGGCCAGAGCTTGGATAAGGCTTTTCCCTCTCCTTCTCTACAGACCGAGCTCCACCTCACTACCCAGAATACTTGCCTGGGGGTAAGGCCTGGCTCCCTTCCCATAAATAGCCTCATAAAATCCTGAACCCCAAACCTGTCATCCCTGGGCGGGCAGTGACTCAAGATCTCGGAGTTCCCGCTCCTAGACACCAACCGTTCAAGTTCCCAGCCCCCTCTTCCCTCTGACCCAGGTGTCCAGGCCCCTAGTCCCTCCTTCCTCGCATTCCAGCCTTCTCCTCCTTCGAGATCAAGGAGTCTGAACTCTTAGATCCCCAACCTTCCTCAAGACCCATGGATCGGGTCAGCAAACAGCCCAGGTATGTGGAGCCAGAAACCCCATTCACGGCTATGCTGCGACGGTCTACGCCCGGTGCTCCCACCCCTATTCAGTCCCTCCGGAGGCGGGTCCGACGCGCGAGGCGCTCCTTCGAAGTCTGGCGGCGATAAGCTATCCGTGACGTCAGTCACTGCCTTCCAGCCAATGGAACTCGGCCTTCTACTTCCCCGAGCCACTCAGGACCCGTTCCCTAGTGGGCGGGACCACAGCCCAACTTGAGCAGCGATAGGCTGCCGAAGACGCCAGTCTCTGCCAGGCCCCGTCAGTCGGCCAATAGAACATAGACCCGGAACCTGACGCCTCGGAATCCCGGTCTACTCTGCGGAGGCCTGAGCGGGCTCACGAGGGAACCAGTTCTGCGGGTCCGGCCGGGTAAGCCCTTCCCAGCACGCCTAGTATTGGGATTCTGGACAGAGCTCGGGTGGGAAACCGTGAGGCATGGTGAGGCTCGAGGCGGAGGGGGGAGCTCAGCCCCGGCGAACCCATCTTGCTTCGTGGGAGAAACTGAGCCCGGGAAGGGGGGATCTCCGTTATTTATCCATCCATTCCTCCCAACCTAAGCCTGATTCTCGTCTGCTGCTGCCTTCCTGCTCCTTCATCCGTTCAGCTCTTCCTTCCCTCCTTAACTCCCTCACTCACAGATTCCCTGGTCTAGCCACTCACTCATACACTGTCCCACCTATTACTTAGACAAACATTTCCGGAGGCTTCTGGTGTGCCAAGCCTCGTGCTGGGCGATGCTGGTACCAAGATGAGTCAGGCCTGGGCCGTGCCCTCAAGGAGCCCGGGTCAGATGGGAGGACAGACATTGACGGGCAGGGGTGTGCAGAGGCGATGGAGAGCCCAGGAGAAACTGTTTGTAGTTTGGTGTGGTCGGCAAAGGGTTTCTAGGGGAGGGATCATTGGAGGGGTAGGAGGTGCCAGGCAAATTGGAGAAGAGGGTGTGGGGAGGGTGTTTTTGTGTGACCAAAGACAGGGAGGCATCCAGGAGCAGTGCTGTGTGCAGGTGCCCAAGGGGAAGGCCAGTCAAGTCTGTGTGGCCAGTAGGGGAACTGTAAGGCTGGAGGAAGCTGAAGAGATGGGCAGAGTCCAGGCTGAGGAGCTTGGAGTTTGTCCTGAGGGTGAGGGGGTAGTGGAGAGCCATGGAAGGGTTGAAAGTAGTGGAGGACAAGGTCATAGTTGGACCAGAACTGGAGGAATGGAACTGGAAGCCAGTGGCCCAGGAGGTGGCTCTGGCAGGAATTCAGGGAGGAGAGAGTGGAGCCTGGATCAGGGAAGAGGCTGGATCAGGGTTAAGATAGAGATTCAGGAGGCAAGGCTGGGTGCAGTGGCTCATGCCTGTAATCTCAGCACTTTGGGAGGTTGAGGTAGGAGGATCACTTGAGCCCAGGACTTTGAGACCAGCCTGGGCAACATAGTGACAACTTCATCTCTACAAAAAAATTAGCTGGCTGTGTTGGTGAGTGCCTATGGTTCCAGCTACTGAGGAGACTGAGGCAGGAAGATCACTTGAGCCTGGGAAGTGGAGGCTGCAGTGAGCCAAGATCGTGCCACTACACTCCAACCTGCACAAGAGTGAGACCCTGTCTCAAAAAAAAAAAAAAAAAAAAAGAGATTCAGCAGGCAGAAAGAACAGAAAGTGGAAATTGATGGGCTATGGGACAAGGGAGGAGTATCCAGGATGAGACCCAGAGCTCTGGCCTGGAGGATGGTGTAGCCATCCCTGAGGTGGGGACAGGAAAGAGGAACAACCATCAGGTTGATGGGTAGTGACTCTTTTAAAAGACAGAGGTGAGCAAGGGGTTCTATGAGTTGGACACGGGAAGCTGTGACTCAGGCCAGTGGATCTAGACCTTCAGGAAGAGTTCTGGGCTATACAGCTCCCTGCCCCAGCACAGGCCCTGACTCAGAAGTCACTTGTTGGGTGAACGTGACCTCTGAGCTGAGGATCCCTTGCTTCTCATCCTCTTAGGAAACCACTTTCTTGTTTCTGCATCTTCAGTCTCTCCCACCCCGCCAGCATTCAAACATGTCCATCATCTCTAAACACATGTGCCCTGTATCAAGCTCCCTTGTGGTGCCCACGGGCTCAATTCCTTACCTTCTGCTCCCTCTTCAACCCACTATGTCTGGCTGCCCAACTGCCAGAGCCCTGCAGTGGTGCTGGACAGGGTCACTGAGGTCACCTGCTCACTGCTGAGACCTGAGGATAACATTTCAATCCTCATCTGACACGGTCCACTCCCTGAAACTCCCTTTACCCTACATCCTCCCTCCCGGGCAGGTTCCTCCCTCTCTGGTTGCTCCTTAGAGCCCTCCAGCCTTGCCTTCCACTGCCCACCCCACCTACCCCATTACTGGGGTGTGATCCTCAGGGTTGTCTCTGTCCTGGCCCTCCTCTTACTTGTCCCACCTGCCCAGGCTTCCTGGAAAGGTTCCAGTCCCTTGGCTCCACCTAGACTGCACTTTTTTTTGTTTGTTTTTTGAGACAGAGTCTTACTTTATTGCCCAGGCTGGAGTGCACTCGTGCAGTCTTGGCCCACTGCAATCTCTGCCTCCCAGGTTCAAGCGATTCTCTTGCCCCGGCCTCCCAAGTAGCTGGGATTACAAGTGTGTACCACCACACCTGGCTAATTTTTGTATTTTTAGTAGAGACAGGGTTTCACCATGTTGGTCAGGCTGGTCTTGAACTCCTGACCTCAGGTGATCCACCCACATTGGCCTCCTAGAGTGCTGGGATTATGGGTGTGAGCCACTGCACCCAGCCCCATATGGCACTTCTGACCCCTGCTGCATCCTGGGTTGTCTTACTGAGACCTTCCAGCTCACCATGTCCAGAATGGCCTCAGCAGGCCCTGCCCACCCCACACACCTGAGAGCCTGAGCGTCCTCTCAGTGAAGACACAGCTTCACTGTCCACCTGCTCCCCTGGCCAGACCTGTGTGTCATCTCTGTTCCCTTGCTCTCCTGTAACCTCATCAGTAAATGCTGTTCTTCCCACTTTTTTTTTTTTTTTTTATAGTTTCGCTCTGTCACCCAGGCTGGAGTGCAGTGGTTCTATCTCAGCTTACTGCAACCTCCGCCTCCCAGGTTCAAGCAATTCTCTTTCCTCAGCCTCCTGAGTAGTTGGGACTACAAGTGCGTGCCACCACGCCCGGCTAATTTTTTAGAGATGGGTTTTCACCATGTTGGCCAGGATGGTCTTGATCTCTTGACCTCGTGATCCACCCACCTCAGCCTCCCTCTTCCCACCTTTTATGGCTCTGGGATGCTCCACCTACACTCTCTACCCCAACAGCTCCTGCCCCAGCTCAGGCCTCCTTGGCCTGCAGGGCTCCAGTTTTGCCCTTTTCTCTCCATCCCCCAGTGTTCCAGCAGGATCTTTCAGTGCCCTGAGCTGACCCTGGCCCTTTCCTCCTCAAGGCATTCCTGTGGCTCCCCACTGCCCTCCAGTTTAGTCCAAATAGTACTCCAGGCTATTCAGGTCCCTCATACCCCTCCCCACTTTGCACCTGAACTTCTGGTCTGGGGGAAGCTTTTTCTAGCCAGGTGGCAGCTTTAATCACTGCCAGCTGGCTGTCACAACGTGGCATGTTTTTTCTTCCTAGCAGACTTTTGTTCATCCTTTAATGTCAACCTCAGACCACCACCTCTGTGAAGCCCTCCCTGACTACCACAGGTGGAACCACTGGGGACTGTGACAGCCTGTCTCTGTTCCCCCACCCTCTCTGAATCCACCATCAGAAGCCCTTTGAAGGCATGTCCTGGGTATAAATCATCTCAGCTCCAAACTCAGGGCCTACAAGGGGCCAGAGAGTTGGTCCAAGAGCTGTCACAGCTGGACAAAACTTGCATTTCCAGTTTTTGTGTGTGTTTTTGGAAACAGGGTCTCACTCTGTTGTCCAAGTTGGAGTTTGTGGTGCAGTCATAGCTCACTGCAACCTTGAACTCCTGGGCTTAAGTGATCCTCCTGCTTCACCCTCCTGAGTAGCTGGGACTGCAGGAGTGTTCCACCATGCTTGGCTAATTTTTAATTGTTTTTTTGTAGACACGGGGGTCTTGCTATGTTGCCCAGGTTGGTCTCCAACTGGACAAACCATCCTCTTGTCTTGCCTCCCAAAGTGCTGGGATTACAGGTGTGAACCTCCGTGCCCAGCTGCTTTTCCAGTATTTTGTCAGTTTGTTTCTGGTTTCCTGCTAACTTTGCTTCAGTTCTGTAGGGTGTTTGGGTCACTAGAGCCTTTGAGACCCAAGAGATTATTATTTCCCCCTGGTGGATGCTGAGCCTGGTCTCCCTGGGACCAGGGCGAGTCCAGCTAACCTAAGGTCTTTAAGGGGAGGAGCTGAGGATCCAGCATTTCCTGGCAGTGTACCTGGATGAAGTACGCGGGGAGGTGGGTCTGGTTTAGCAGGGAGTCTGCTCCCTTCTGGTCCCAAGAATCCAGGCCCCTACACCCCTCATTCCAGGTTTCTTGGTTTCCAGCCGCTTGAGTCCGATGTTGCCCCCTGGTGGGCAAACACCCCACCCTATTTGAGAGAGGCCAAACTAAATACTTTTATTTACAACAAACGAACAAACAAACCGACCTGCAAGGGAGGGCCAGTGCCCGCCCGTGCGGTGGTCGCATCAGCAGCAGCAGAAGGCAGCGATGGCGTGCAGGTCCAGCCGTCTTGGTAACCGGTGTGTGTGCGCATCCCCCTCCCCCGCCTCCTTATCACCCCCCACCCCCGACTTAAGTAAGGCACAGCCGGGGTCCCCTCCCGCCTGGCCTGGAGCGCATTCATTACGGAGGCCGGTGCAGATGGAAACAGGCTTTTAGTGTTGCTCCCGCAGCCCTCGTCTCCCTGCGCAGCCTGGCTCCAGAGGGTGGCTCAGACCGGCCGCGGGGCGGGAGCGGGCGCAGCGGGCGGAGTGAGGACTAGGCGGATGCGCTCTACACACAGCTCCGCGGCCTGGCGCGTCTCGCGGCACAGCGATGCCAGGGTCAGGAAGCCATGTGGCAGGTCCTCCACCACTTGCAGCGTCACCGGCCGGTCCAAGTTGCGCAGTCGCCGCGCGAACATGACCGAGTCGTCCAGCATGGGGTCCAGCGCACACGCCTACGGGGCGGGACAGGGATGGACATGGGGAGCGGGTGGGGGACCGACAGACCGGTGTCGGGTAGAGCGAGGAGGGGTTTGATGAACAACGGGGGTGGGAAATACGGATACAGACAGGGGTGGACAAGCAGGAGACATGGGGGTGAGGAGTTGGGGAGAGAATGGTGGGGATGAGGGGAATTGTGGGAAGAAAGGGAGAGAATGACTTTTAACTGCGCTCCCGGGCCTCTGTCCAGCCTCTCCCTTTGCACCCCCTCCAAACCCACCTTTTT